CCCTATAGACAGTACACACATGGCTATTTGCTTTCTTCCAGGCCAGGAGGAGGATGTCTGACTCTTTATTCTTTCATAAAAACTTCACCTCATTATGTCAGGTTTCCCTTAGTAATCTCCCTTTGATGAACTCAAAAGGGATCCATAATTATATCTGTAAAATCCCTTTTGCCATGTAAGGTAACATGATCAACATGATCAAGGCAGTGATATCACATATATTCTCAAGTCCTTCCTACACTCCAGGGGAAAAGATTATACAAAAATGTGGGTCATTGAGGGTTCTCATAGAATTCTGCCTAACACATTCATGTAAAAGCTAGTTGGCTGGAAAAGAAAATCTTAAGATTTTATGATGATAACTACTCAAAGGACAAGTTACTAAACTTACATATGGAATGGAAAGTTTATACAAGTTCTCAGGACACTGATAGATTTAGGAAGGCAATACATATTTTTTTTCCCACACTAAATGGCAATATTTCCAACTTCCTAGCTACACAGAAGATTAAAAGCTACAGTGAAACCCCCTGCAGTTTTGAATACAGAGCTGCCCAGAGGCACCAAAGGGATTTCTGAGTCAGACTCATCAGGAGGAAAAAGGAGAGTCAGATGAAAATTATGATTATTCATTCCACCGTTTAAAGCATATAGAAGAAAGTGTTTCACCACTGCCTACAGAATAAATTCCAAACTCCTTAATCTGGAGTAAAAGATCTTCCATGACTTAACTGGCCCCTACCTTCCCATTTATCTCTCATGTCTGTATCAAACAGAAAGTTTCAGTTCCTTCAAACAATCACATGCTTTTACCCTGCATAAACACATGGTTTCTTTCTTTAGAATGCTCTACCACCTACTTTTACCCACAACCCATACAGTGAATTCCATTCATCATTTAAGATCCACTTATTCATTTAACATATACTTACTGAGCACTCTCATTTACCTCTGCCACAAAGTAGGGCACATCTCTGCTTCTTGTTTTGTACAAAAACTGTAGCCAGTTCATATGTCTGTTACTATACTTGTTAGATCTTATGTTTATATGTCCATCCCCCAAAAGTGAATACCTTAAAGAAATAATTCGGTTTTGGTTATATTTCTAGGACTAATTCAGGGATTGTTACAACTCACCAATCATGGTTTGCTCAAGATAGTAATAAAAATGATAACAATAATAATAATATCTAAAATATATTCAGTGATTCCTTATACTGTGAAAACACTTTATACATATTGGCTTGTATGAAATCCTTGCAATAGCACTTTGAGGCAAGCTTTATGATCCTCATTTATTAGATGAGAAAACTAAAGTTCAGAGACAGAGGCAAGACTTCAATATTTTACTGATACTTCTCAACATTCTGTTCTCTATATACCAGTGTGGTCTCCAAACAGGAGCATCATTATCACTCACAAATTCAACACACTGCTAAATATATATGTTCTCGGTTTCCAACCCAGATGTACTCAATCAGAAAATCTGGGGTCAGGCCCCTATAATCTGAGTTTTAACAGGCCCTGGAGGTGATGATGGTGCCTGCTAAAGTTTGAGAACCATGCTGTATAATCTAACATGGAAATATCCTGGCCAAGAAAATGTGATCAGCTAGGACTATGAAACAACTTTCTCCCAGAAACTTGGTGATTAAATTCATATGTTAGATAATAATGGAGAAAAAATGTACAGAACAATGACTCCTCCTGAAATCAGAAGTTACTTTGAAAGCCCCTACCTCTATCATACAGAGTCTGAAACTTAACACAGTGTCAATATGCTGAACTGGCCAGTGCTTAGTTAAAACGTATGGAAAATAATACTTTCCCTTGACTGGAATAACTACTTTGGGATTTACATAATGTTATACATTCCTCTTTATAGTAAAGTATTCCTCATAGCTGGTTTTATCACCCCAAAGGCATTTTAAACATCTCCAGGTCAAGGTTTTGTTTTCTTCATTTGGATATTCACTCATGCACCATAGAATGCTGTATAATTGGGACACATTTTAACAATTTCTTATCAAATTGGATTTAACTGAATTTGATTAGCCTATCTTTTCCAATTCTTTATACTAGGGAGTGTCTTTTTAAAAAATCTAAAGTGATATTATAGTAAAAATTGTTACATGATAATAGGAAGTCAAATTTTGATTTCTGAAAAGACAAGAGTGCAAGATAAGGATAGAACACTCCTTTCAGTGAGGTGTATCTGCTGAGGGATTTTAGAGCGAACTTTCACTTCACATGTATAGAGCACAGCAATAATAATGAACGTGCATTCTGTATAGAGTACTAAATACAGCATATTTGCCTATACACCTATAAAAACAATTTTAGAGAACTCAGGAAGTTCACCATATAATTGTAAAGACAAACTATGTAAACATGCAAAATAAGAGTTATGAACAAATAAAGAGCTATATAGATGAATTCAAGTGTAGGAATAATAAATGGTCTATTAATGGCCACGCATTGAAGAACACAGAAAAAGCAAAGCTTCACTACTTCTGAGTAGAACACAGAACCAAATGCTGATTCTGTATATGGTTTTCTCTTGATTTTCATTCTAGTCTTGATTCAGATGATTTTAAAGTATAGTGTTTATAAGATCAAAGTTTCATCTTTTTACATATAAACAAAAGTCCCCTCTCTACCTAGTTTATGAATAAATCTGGCATTCAGAGCAGAAGCCAAATTTGTCAAAAATTAAGATATTTTATAAAAATATTTTTAATGAAAACATTATGCGTTTTTCATGAGGCTACAATGTTAAAAACAATCAACCAATATTAATGACTAGTATGTTAGTCTCTGACTTCCCTGAGGATATATTTATCCGAAACACAAATAAAATGGTAAGAAATTAAGAGAAACTAACTCACTAACTAATTATGTCAAAATTCAGAAAGAGATGCATGTAGGTAATAAAACAATTTAACCGAAGGAGAGTATTTAAGAAGAATATTCTAACATAAACCAAGCCTTTCACATAGAAAACCATCTGATTTGTAAGAATTCACTGCCAGGAGCTTTCTTATAGGCCAAGGAAATAGGATTTTAAACTTATCCTCCAGGTTAGGACTTTCAATCAGAAATGCTTACGCAGAAAAAGTGGCTGGATTAGAACCTTGTCATAGTAAGATAACTCTGGATACAGTGTAGAGGGTCCATTTAGAAAAGCTCCAACCAAGACTAGACATTTAACACACTAACCTAAACAAATATATCCTAAAGGCAGAATTAGAATGGATGGTACTGAGCCCTGGCAGAATATAAGAGCAAGTTTAACTTAGCAAAGTGATGTATCTAACTTGTGAAATGGGTGCTTGTACTTCTCCAAAGTTAGTCCAATAAAATGTATTTATTAGAAGTTCTAAAGTAAAGGTAGTAATTATGGATAAATTACAGATAGTTCCTTGTTTGGGGAAAAAAATATAAAGAGAGAAAGTAATTAAAATAGAAAAGAGGTAGAATAATTGTATGGACTGTAACCCATAATTTCTTAGTAATATAGACAATTCTACCTGTTGGGCCTCCATGCCTAAGTAAGATACTTGAATTACAAGTTAAAATAACCAGAATGGTTTGCATCAATCTATCTCCTAGAAGGTTACCTTGAGAATAATACATATTACTATATAAATAGGAAAAATTTTTAACAAGCATAATAGATGATTCTTATATTTGGGTTTTAATGTACATGTGATGTCAGGTCCAAGATTTCTGTATGTGGGGTACAAAAACCACTACCAGACTTATTAGTCATCTCCTCTATAAACTTCTTAATCCACCCTAAAAGAGTGTGTGTGTGCACGTGTGTGTTTAAGTGTATGAAGTAAGAGCAGAATTATGCTGAATATTTACATTTCTGTGCATTTTTACTGAGACAAGCACATTATTTTACCCTGTGTGAGAGCTACTGAAAAACAGATTTATTGATGTTTAGCTAGTTTTATTCCCAAAACTTTGTATTTTCAGAACCAACAAGTTGAAGAAATAATTCATGAAGTTTCTCTGTCTATAATCTAAATACTACAGATGAGCTCTGAAATAATCACATCTAACATGAACACTTAGCACTTGCTATTGTCAAGTACGAATCTACGTGTTTTTTATATATTAACTTATTTATTTCTCCAAGATTCCCACTAGATATATATCATTTTTTTTTAAAGATTTATTATTTATTTATTTATTTAATCTATTTTTGGCGGCATAGGGTCTTAGTTGCCGCGCGCAGGCTCCTCCTTGAGGCATGCTAAATATTCGTTGCAATGCTCGGGCTCTTTGTTGCGGTGCGCGGCCTTCTCTCTAGCTGTGGTGTGCGGGTTTTCTCTTCTCTAGTTGTGGTGCACAGGCTCCAGGGCGTGTGGGCTTTGTAGTTTGGGGCCTGCAGGCTCTCTAGTTAAGGCGCTTGAGCTCAGTAGGTGTGGTGCACGGGCTTAGTTGCCCCGCGGAATGTGGGATCTTAGTTCCCTGACCAGGGATCAAACCCACGTCCCCTGCATTATAAGGTGGATCCTTTACCACTAGATCACCAGGAAAGTCTCTAGATATATATCATTTTAAAACTGTTTTACGTAAGAGAAAAATGGGGCACACAGAGATGATATTAATATACCTTGTAAAATTACCTAATTTAAGGTAAATCTGGTTCAAATTACACTTAATCAGAAAGTGACTGTGGTTTGAAAAGGAAAATGTAGGGCTTCCCTCGTGGTGCAGTGGTTGAGAGTCTGCCTGCCGATGCAGGGGACACGGGCCCCGGTCCGGGAAGATCCCACATGCGGCGGAGTGGCTGGGCCCATGAGCCATGGCCGCTGAGCCTGCGTGCCCGGAGCCTGTGCTCCGCAACGGGAGAGGCCACAACAGTCAGAGGCCCGCGTACCGCAAAAAAAAGAAAGAAAAGGAAAATGTAAAATGCCCTGGATCTAACACTTCACACTAGTTTCAGCACATTAATTTTGATTTGGAGACCTTTCCCCATTCCTTACCTTTAATCTCTTTGTCATTTTTGAACCATCTTATATCAGCTGCAGGTTTACTACCAGATGTTTTACAAGTCAGCTGCATCAAGTCTCCCTCCATAACTGGGGATGAAAATCCGCTAATTTGAGGCTTCTCAGGAACACCTGAAATTTAAGCAAATGAATGAAATAAACATTAATCTCCAGGGTTGATTTGTTCTTACGACTACTACTTTCAGAAGCAAAGCTAAACTGGGTGTATAACTGACAATAACTTCAATCAAGAATAATAAACCGGGGCTTCCCTGGTGGTGCAGTGGTTGAGAGTCTGCCTGCCGATGCAGGGGACAAGGGTTCATGCCCCGGTCTGGGAAGATCCCACATGCCGCAGAGCAGCTGGGCCCGTGAGCCATGGCCACTGAGCCTGTGAGTCCGGAGCCTGTGCTGTGCAACGGGAGAGGCCACAACAGTGAGAGGCCCGTGTACCGCAAAAAAAAAAAAAAAAAAAAGAATAATAAACCAAAACATAATAATAATAAACTGCTATATAATAAAATAAATGACAAAATATATAAAAAATATATAGCGAGATATATATACACATACATACAAACACATATGTGTCTGTGTAAATATGCATATGTGTGTGTATATTATTCAGAAAGCATTTAAAGTCGTTTTTTTTAATTAAGTTTTACCTGCAGAAATACTCTTTATAATCTTAAAAACAACCATATCTTAAGATTTACCACTGTGGGGCTTAAAAACGGTAGATTGTTTGCACTGGGCAAAAAAAAATCCACAAAGCATATTTCTTCATTCTTTAGCAAACTGTGATTTAACCAAAATAGCACATTTCATTCCTGATTTCAGAATTCTTAAAGCTTAAAAAACATTGTTATCCTCTGTGTACTTTTTTCTAGAAAATGCATTTTGGAATAAAAGATTCATTAAAAATTGCAACTATACTTATTTTTCTGATTCTTCTAAAGTAGAGAATGTCTCTTAATGTCATTTGTATTAGAAATGTAATTGCAGTTTTGTGGAGCATGATATGTATTATTATTATTTTTTTTTTTTTTTGCAGTACGCGGGCCTCTCACTGTTGTGGCCTCTCCTGTTGAGGAACACAGGCTCCAGACGCGCAGGCTCAGCAGCCATGGCTCATGGGCCTAGCTGCTCCGCGGCATGTGGGATCTTCCCGGACCGGGGCACTAACCCATGTCCCCTGCATCGGCAGGTGGACTCTCAACCACTGCGCCACCAGGGAAGCCCATGTATTATTTTTAATGCTAGCATTACTAGCTACTTATTACCTTTTCTAGTCCAGATCATCCAATGAATAAGCAGATAACTAATATTCAGAGATAGACATTGATGATTTAAATAATACAACATTACATATTTTGGAGGCAATAATATTCTGCTGTCATGACAGAGGTTTATTAAAATTTCTTCTAAAAATATTCAATAATAAAGGCAGACTGAAAGTTTCTTTATTGTACTATTTAATTCAGTTTGAAAAGAATAAAATGTAAGAATGTTGGAAGGTGCCAATAAAAGAAATACAAACTAAAACAACAAGAACAACAAAGATAAATGACAGATCAACATACTCCACTAGCTGGCTAGCTTTCTTTTCTTTTCGTTCACCTTCATATAGCTTTTTTTAAAAAAAAAACAAACATGTCACATCACCATTTAATAAACTGAAATTAGCCAATTTCCTATTTCTTAGGGTCTCAAGTTGGCTCTCTACAGAACAATACATTAATCTTAGGCAGCTGCTATCCTGAGATACTCCATTTAGTGGGTGTATTTTGTCCTTAATGGCAAACTTGTAAAGATTTTTATACAATAGTCCCAGTGGGACTTGCAAAGAAACATATTTCATATCCTATGCACAAAACCAATTCACTAGCAGGATTAACTTTAATATTCTCACCCAAAAGAACAGCATGCATTAGTTCGTTTAAATGCAGTGTTATGCCTTTATCTATCAAAAAAGGAAGGCAAGCTAAGGGCAAAAAAAAAAAATCAATCTTTAAATTCCTCTAACTTGTTCAGTACACACAGGTGTGTTTCAATGAATTCCAGCAATTTCAGCTGATTGGGCCACTGACGTCTGTGGAATCACAGAGAGCTGTGAGCTGCAAGCTTATTCCTCAGAAACTCTATGAATGTATTGCTTTTTAGTGTCACTATAACCTTTAGAAAAATGGCCCAATACTTAGAGAATAAAAAAACAAAGAAGCTACAAGCTGCATGCGCAAGCGACATTATGTACTTCATTTAGTAATCTAGAAAACTACAAAGCTAAAAGGCAAGAATACAAATAGAAATGTTAGGGTCATTTAAATACACTAAAATACACAAATGGGCATATTTGGAAGCCAATAGATATTAGGGAAGATCCCATTAGGTGACTGATGATAAGGTGGCGGAGCATCTGATAGACACTTTGAAGTCATTATGTTCATTATTCTATCACTTTATAAAAGGATTACCACGTATACAATATAGAGAAGATTTGACACAAAGGAATTTAGTTGAAAATCAAGAAACCTGGTGTCTATTGCTGGCTAAGAAACAAAATGGCTGTTTGCTCTTGGGAAGTCATACAAATCTTTATACCTCTCTTTATCTATTTATAAAATGGGGGAAATGACTAAGTGATTTTTTAATGCTTTTTGATGATCCTCAAAGTGTAGATCTATTATTGAATCATGTTGCTGTAGCTGTACACATCTCTCTGGCTTGTGATCACATGGTGTTAGTCCCTTGCACTTACCCAGAACAGTGAGATAGGCCTTGGAAGTTTTGACAGGCATTGTAAATAAAGAACAGGTGTACTGTCCTTCATCAGAGAGAGAGACATCACTGACGCTGATACTCAGTTCATGCCAGGAAGCCCGAACCAGCTCGATCCTATTGTCCCTTAAAGCTGGAAAAAGAAAATACTGAAAATATGAATAACAACATTAGGAAAAGTTGCTACTGTTAGACTACATATTTTTAGCACAACACAATAAACATTTTCTTTGGCCATATGTCTAAATCTGGTTTCCTGAAATGTTTTAAAGGAAGGTTTAAATATATTGAAATATTTTATCAGATTTAAGTAGAATTAAATGTTCCTTAATGTTCTGAGAAATAACTTTTTAATTAAATGATTGCATCTAGTAAGTACAATACCTTGGATGAGGTAGATATTGATGGTGACAAAAATGGCTTTCCTTCACAAAGTCTTTCATGAGTTGTCAGTACCAAGAAGAGCTGTAAACAAAAAATTTCACTTCTATGCCCAGATAAATTTGGGAAAACTATGACTGCTCAATTCCTTCTAGGAAACCAACAATGAACCTTAGCGTATTGAAAGTTCTCTGCAGTAGAGACACCTGTTAAGCTTTTTTTAAATCAGAGCTAACTTTCAGCTGAAAAACACCTGTACTGTACCTGACGTTAAATTTGCTCTGACTGTTTGGTGCCTCTGCTGTACTGTCTGTTAAATACTTTTAATATATTCTTTGGTTCAAACCACCTTTTCTATCACAGAACACTTGTTTTCACAGATCTCTTAAGCATCTTGCTTATTTATGCTTCTTTTAAATCATTTTTGGAAAAGCATTAAAAAACTTAAATATCACTACGTGCTCCACTAAGGACAGCTATAAAACCAGGAATTAAGCAAGAGGTGACTAAAGGAGTACTCTGAAAGGTAGAAAGAGGAAAGGGGACTGGTTAGTAATACCAGAACCTAAGGAATAACACAGTGTCTCTCTAACCAATTGTAAAAGGCATTTGAGGCCCGGCTTCTTCCAACCATAACATAGCAACAGAAGGTGGCCTAGGTAGACTCATTTTTATTGCAGAGCAAATGGGATTCCCACCAAGAACTTCAGGAGAGACTGGGCCACCCCCAAGGGGAATCAATCGGGAGCATCACTGTCATGGAACGCAGTCTCTTTTTCCATTAGGCTGGAGACTCCCCTTCCCTACTGAGAGACAACGGTCAATTGGGCAGCACAGGCAGTGGGCCAATCCTTCTATAACAATTACCCAGCCCTTGAAGTGATCTTTGATGAGCTAAAGAACCATTTATCCCCCCTAGAGCCATCAGGAGGCCTTGCTTCCTTAGGTGGCACCAGTAGGGATCAGTACAACTCCCAGTGGAAACAGACAACTCAAAGTGACCAAATAGCACCACAAAGGCTCTGAAAATTAAATTGTTGGTGGAACCATAGCCCACAAATGTAAGCCAGGACCTGTGTGCTGAACTTAAATTGAATAGAAGATGTAAATAGTATCCAGAGTCTCCTAACACAATAACCAAAATGTCCAGGATGTGATAAAAAAAGAATTACTGGTCACACCAAATACCAGGCAAAACATAACTTGAATGAGAAAAAATAATCCACAGATGCTAATACTGAGTTGAAACAGATGTTAGAATTATCTGACAGAGAATTTAAAGAAGCCATCATAAAATTACTTTAACAAGCAATTACTAATTATCTTGAAACAAATACAAAATAGAAAATCTCAGCACTCTAAAGAAGTTATTTAAAAAAAGAATCAAAGGAAAGTACAGAAGTCAAAAATACAACAACCAAAATAAAAACTCACTGGATTGGATAAATAGTACAATGAGACAACAGAGGGTAGAATCAGTGAACTTAAGGACAGACCAATACAAGTCACTGGATCTGAACAAGAGAGAGAAAACAGATTGGAAAACCAAACAAAAAAACAAAAAATCAGAATCTTGGGGACCTGTGGGACAATAACAAAATATCCAACATTGGTACCATATAAGTCCCAAAAGAAGAGAAAGAGAGTGAGGCAGAAAGAATTTAAGAAATAATGGTAAAAACTTCACAAATTAGGCAAAAGAAATAAATGTACAAAATCAGGAAGAGGAGCAAACTCAAACAGGATAAACCCCAAAAGGTCCAAATCAAGATACAGTGAAATTAGGGCTTCCCTGGTGGTGCAGTGGTTGAGAGTCCGCCTGCTGATGCAAGGGACACGGGTTCGTGCCCCGGTCCGGGAAGATCCCACATGCGGTGCAGCGGCTGGGCCCGTGAGAGAAAGACATATTACCTATAAGAAAACACTATTTCAAATGACAATATATGACCTCATTTGAAATTATGGAGATCAGAGGCAGTGGCACATTTTTCAAGTTCTGAAAGAAGAGAACTGTTGATCATGAATTCTTATCCAGTGAAACCAACGTTCAGGAATCAAGGGGAAATAAATATATTTTTAGAAGGAGGAAAACTAAAAACATGTTTCTCTAGCAGATCCGTCTTAAAGAAGAGTTAAAGTTCTTCAAACAGAGTAGAAGAAATTTTGAAGCATCAAGAAGGAAGAACAAGTGAGAGAACAAAAAATATGGGTAAATACAATATAGACTACTCTGTTGCATTTTCCTGACTATATGATGGTTAAAACAAATATTATACCATCAACTGATGCAGTGTTCAACATGTTAAGAAGGAATAGTTAAAACAAATAAAAAGTGTCAGGGCAAAAGGACCTAATGGAAGTAAGGCTTCCATATTTTACCAGAAGTGGTAAAAGTAGTAGACTGTGATAAATTGTATATGTATAGCATTTCAATACCTGGAGCAACTACTAAGAAAATATACAAAGTGATACATTCAGAAACTCTATAGATAAATTAAGATGAAATCCTTTTATATAGTGTCTTGAAATAACTAAAATTATAGAGATGGAGAAAAGATTAGTTCCTACCAACGGTGAAGGTTAGTAAGGGGTGGAGGGGGAGTGGGAGTGATATGAGCGTGGTTATAAAACTACAGCATGAAGGATCCTTGTGGTGATAGAACCGCTTTGCATCTTGACTGTGGTGATGGATACATTAACCTACATATGTAATGAAACTGGATAAAACTAAACACATACACACACACACACACACACACACACAAACGAGTACATGTAAAACCGGTGAAACTCAAATAAGATTGGTGGACTATGTCAATGTCTATTTTCTAGCTGTGATATCTTTCCAAGATGTTATTTGGGTAGAGGGTACATGGATTTCTCTGTATTATTTCTCACAACTGGGTATGAATAATAACTCAGCTTAAAATATTTTCTGCACATTAGATGGAATGGGGAAATGGTTTTGATATCAAAGCTTGAAACTCATTATATACATTTGCCACAGAGTAAGAAGGGGATCCCAAGTGTCATATATTCTTAAATTGCCTATAACTTTCCTCTATGCTTTGTGAGAGGAGCAGGAAATTAAAAAAATATATTTGGTAAAATTCTAAATTTTCATGATTTTAAATATACTTTAAAAATCATCCTCTCACTTACTCAATAACACATACCTGAATGATTATCGTCCATCTATTACCATTCTTTGTTACCTCTAATTTCATAAGGAGACATACACTTGCGAACATTTTCAAAACTGATTTTTATCAACTATAAAAATTAAGGAAGACTGATTACAATTGTGTTTGCGACTCCACTAGGTTACAGCGGACTTTTTATAAAAATGTCTATTTTGTACGCTATCTCTTACACTCCCTATTATATATGCCTTGTTCAGTTGCTAGAGGAAAAGAGGCGGACACAGATTTGTCATTTCCCCAATAGGACCTCATGCTATACCAACCACTTTTCAAAGGTATGATTTATTTAAAAAAATATTTATCACATATTTCTTGTTTTTTATAAAAAAGAAGTCTCCAAAAGGGAAAACCTCACATTCCTGCAATGATACTGTGTGGGTAAAACATGTTACTCACCCCGTGTTCAATTTCATTTCTTCTAACACAGGTCGCACTGACAGAGAGACAGAGCTTACATTTTTTAGTGAATCTTGGCAAAAGGAATTTAACTCTCTTTTGGTCAGACTCTTTTATGGAAACTAAATATTATATATATATATATAAACTATATAACTACATAATATCACTGAAGTCAAACTGAATTACTCAAGTGCATACAAATAGAAAATGTTCATATTTAAACCATTTGTGTGGAGTAAGGCTAAAAGCACTGACTTTGGTATCAGAAGATCTGCTTTAGGCACTTATATGAGGTCAGGTTTCCTGTGGATAATAATTCCTGATTCATTTCCATCTTTGCATTATGAGAACTATGGTGTCATGTTATATGTAAAGTGATTTAAACAAATGTGCAATGATATATTAAAATATTTTAGGTTTGGAATCCAGATGAGAACCTAAATATTTAAAGTCTGAAATGTCTTGATTCAGCTTGCCAAATCCTATAATTTTTTGAGTTGTTTTATAATTACTACCAGGTTTGACTAAAAATTAGGCTCTGAAAAGTAGAATACATATATTTTAATGTAACCTCTGTCATTGGTTAGCCATATCAATAGGTAAGTCACCTATTGTGTACCCCAGTCTGCTGAGTGTTAGGCGGAGATAATAACAATTGAGTGAAAGTATAAGGTATATGATTTAGAGAAATGAAATACATGAATAGATATTCAAAACCTGAAAACATATTCCCAAAAGGGAAGAAAGTGACACAGTTAGCAAAGGGATTATTTATTGTATAAATTTCCTTGATAATTCATTTGCCAAAAAACAAAGAGCTGCCTAAGGAAATTTTTATTGGACTGAACATTTTATTTTATTTTAGTAGCTATAACCATTTTTTATTATAGAGAATTTAAGTGATTTCAAGATTGGAAAGTGTCCATTGTATTTGGACAGTGTCGGTGAGTTTGGCTATATCATGAGGAGGTTGCTAAGAAGGAACCAGATTGCACTCTTGGATGAGAAGAGTAGGAGACAGTCCAGGGTCAGAAGGAAGGGAGGCTATTTTTCTGGAAGGAAGAGACTGAATCATATTTATAGGCTCAAGAGAAAGGGGATCAATAAAGGCATGAAAAATAGAAATGACATCTCTGGTACAGATATCTTC